TATGATAAGTGCCTGATATGCTTTGCATGTCCCAAATGTTTGCATAATGATAAATATCTTGTTGGAATGTAATGTGGAGTGAGGAATGGCTAAAACCTCTACCTAAAATTATAATGTAGTAATACTGAAGTACAAGTACATCAAATTAAAGACTACATCTTAAGAAGTGATAATAAGTACTACATTTCCTTAATTTTTTTTAAAGAATCGCTAACCCCTCGTTGTAAGTGTGTAAATATGCTTATGTTACGAGTGGATTCACCACAATAGTCGAGCGGCGACGGGATTCAATCTCGCGTTTCCCGGATCACGAGTCGGCCAGTCCGACCCCTTCATCGTTCGCTATTGTGGCTTCAAATATACAAAGTTTCATATACTTTTGACTGTCCCATAGTAATTAATTTAGTTCCTAACCAATTGTTTCTTTGTTCCAGCCTACATTCTTTACGTGATCTCAGGACTCGGCATCACAGCGGGAGCCCACCGCCTTTGGGCGCACAAGTCATACAAGGCTAAGTGGCCACTTAGACTCATTCTTATTATCTTCAACACTGTATCATTCCAGGTAAATTAATTTCTTACATCATCCGTAGATAGTAGAAAAAAAAGATAAACTTACTGAAAAATAACTGTTGAGTCACAAAAATATGCATATGTCCACTTATTCAAAGTATACTTTCTATCTTTGTGAATAAATCCATAATTACCATTCAAACAAAGCAGGATGTTCACACATTTTAACATATTCTTTAACAAAAGAGGTCAAAATAATATGTTTAAGTATGTCAGTACTGTAAAAAATAAAAAATCATTCAAAGTAAAGAATTGTAAGAAATTTAAATAAAATCAGTTGCATTTTAATTAGTTTTTTACAAATTCATAAAATACTAAGCCAAAAGTTTTTTTTTTTTAATTTTTTTATTTTTTTTTTATTTATTAATTTTGGACTGCAAACAGATTCACAATATGTATTCTTAAAAGCTAGTTTTATGGATAGTGCTTATCATGAATCCAACAACGCTGGTCACAATTTAAGATTACAAATGTTTAATGGGGCGGAGCCTGTCTAGGCATCCGGCGCATACTCTAGTTCTACTCGTTCTAATACCATTTAATTTATACAACTCAAAAATTAACTAACCAATCTCCTTTTTAGGACTCGGCTCTTGACTGGTCACGTGACCACCGCATGCACCACAAATACTCGGAGACCGACGCCGACCCGCACAACGCGACTCGAGGGTTCTTCTTCTCTCATATCGGCTGGCTGCTGGTCCGCAAGCACCCGGAACTGAAGAGAAAGGGCAAGGGACTGGACCTGAGCGACTTGTATGCTGATCCCATCCTCCGTTTCCAGAAGAAGTAAGTGTACTTTAAACTTAACTACTATAGGGTCGCCGCCACCAACGTTTTTCCTGTAGTTTTCATACTTTGCACACGCTACAAAACGCCGCTGCTCGCTTCATGTGGGCCACTCCGGCAACAAAAACGCCGCCACACGCCACTCGCGCGCTCTCTCTCTTACCTCAGTAAACTCGCATGGGTGTAAAAGTAGCGGCCACCGACAGAAATGGCTGTCGGGCGCTTCAGCTACATTTTGTAGCCGTTTCTAGCTTCTTGTGTGGCGGCGTTTGTGGCTGCGGCGTGAAGCCCGTGTGCGGCGACGCATAATTATACATATACGTAGACGTAGCGTGCCAAAGACGCCCTGTATTCAAATAATTATTGGGGGCACTAAACGTCATTGACTTTTATGGCTTACACACGTTCAGGGTCAGTCTAGGGGCCCGTCATCGATACGGCTGATGCATTAATTTAATAGCTCTGGCATCAGGAGTAATGCCGTCATCACTAGCATTTTATGCGCGGGGTGCACCTTTTTGTAACTTTGCCCCTGATAAGTGTTCATATCTTCAGTCACGTCAGGTCTTTTCTGCCCTGTGTATGGGCACCTAACGCATCGCCCTAGGTACGGCACTGCTTGTAAAAGCTATGTAAATAGTCTCTCTAATTAGATTCGCGTAATAACACGTCACCTAATTGCGTTAATTACAGTGACATGTATAATAACAACATTACTTTCGCGCGAGACCACTTCATTGATTTTCTGTTGATTGTTCTCTGACTAGCATGACACGTGCTCTTTATAAATAACAGTCTAAAAAATTAGATACTGACATTTTCAAAAGCAATATTGTCAGCGTATTTTTAGAGATGAACATAAATCTGATAGTAACTTCTAAACCTGAGATATATTGTACTTTGATTAGTAATGTCAAACCTTAAAATAGATCACCCTTGATGCACCTACCATAAAAATAAGAAGTCGTAATTAATTATAATCTAGCTAGATCCTAGCTAGAACCACAATAGCAACCTAGTTCTACAATAGAACTTACTAATACTTATCGTTTTGTTACAGGTACTACCTGCTACTGATGCCTCTCGGCTGCTTCATCATGCCGACGGTGGTCCCGGTGTACTTCTGGGGTGAGACTTGGACTAACGCTTTCTTCGTCGCCGCGCTCTTCCGATACACCTTCATCCTCAATGTCACCTGGTTGGTCAACTCCGCCGCGCACAAGTGGGGCCACAAGCCCTATGACAGCAGCATCAAGCCTTCCGAGAACCTCTCAGTCTCCTTATTCGCGTTGGGCGAAGGTTTCCACAACTACCACCACACATTCCCCTGGGACTACAAAACTGCCGAGCTTGGCAACAACNGCAACAATAGACTCAATTTCACAACAAACTTCATCAACTTCTTCGCTAAAATCGGATGGGCTTACGACTTGAAAACGGTCTCCGACGAGATTATTCAGAATAGAGTCAAGCGCACAGGAGATGGCTCCCACCACTTATGGGGTTGGGGCGACAAGGATCAACCTAAAGAGGAGGTAAACGCAGCTATTAGAATTAATCCTAAAGACGAGTAAACTCTCACAACACTAGGCTATTAAAGCACGAATTGCGTATCTTAATCTTGAATTTAATTCGTATAAGTACTTTACTTTTCGAAAGTCTATGAAGGTCGGTAATTCTGATGATGGACAAAATTATGGTGTGTGTAAACTTGAGTCTGCTAGGTTTAAGTAAATTTAACATTTGAGTAACATTTGAGCACAAAATTAATAAAGCACATTGATAGAAACTAAATTTTAGTAGAGTTTTAACTTCTTCCCATGGTCCAGTATGGCAGGTCGTAAAGTACGACATCATGGTTGTTACAGTCCACGCGATATAAGAATTATTGAACTAACAAGTACTTATCAATATAAAACAAATTTATGGATTAATATGATAATGAGACAACTCAATATGGATTGATTCCCAATGCTGGTCTTCCTTATTTTTCGGTGTCCAGAACTTTATTGTTGTACACTAAGTACTTTATTATATTAATCGTCGTCTTTTTGTGCACTCGTAAAGTAGTATACAGGGTGTAAAGGATAGGTTTTTAATAACTGAGAGAATTCAGACCACACTTCCAAACTTGAAACTACTTAATTCGTTAAAGTGGTCAAAGTCGATGGTTAAAGAATCTGTCAACCTGTCCTTTACACCCTTCATTGTGAGATAATACATATTTATTTAAATGTGCCCCCATTACTAAAGATACAAGGGTTTAAACGAATTTACGTATGTGACTAGTTTTGTAAGTACACCACTGAATTTTACTATTACCTATTTACCATTATGGTAATGAAACTTATGAGTACATTATTGCACAATAACTTTTTGAATATCACTATGACGATTTATTTAAAGAGATTGTAATAAACATATTTATCAATAAAATATTTAAGGACTAAGAATTTTTTATTATGTAATCGCTATTCTATGTGACGTTGTCGTGTTGTTAGCTTGCTTTAAATGGAAATAAGACAATCATTCAAAGCTTGGTTAACTTTATTTTAGTAACTGGGGGCATCTGATAATTTATTAGTAGAAGTAGAACTACACTTACACAGTAAAATGTAGTTGTTAGGCTTTAGTTGTGTATAACGTCTGAGCATCAGTGTGATGATGGTAGAATAAACACATCAGTATTATTATAAACCACATATTATTTATAAGTGCATATAACTAGTCTAGCTGCATTTGTTATGAATAATTTAAGTTTACATGATTTCTAAATTATTTTCGAAATGTGAACTAAAATTGCCGAACCAAGAACATTATTTATTAACTTGTTAATTGTTTTTATTTATATAAATATGACATATGTGGTGTATAAAATGTTATTAGCTTGTAGTAATGCACTTGATTGTACTTCAGAATAACTTTCTCTGCTACTAGACAATTAGATTGTCGAACTACGTGCGGATACAGCTGGAGTGCTAAATATTACATAGCAAAATGACTGATGTGTAAAAATGAGACTTGTGATATTTAGGTTAAAACCTAAACCATTATTAAGGAAAAATGTGAACAAGATTTCTTGTATTTCATTTTTTATTTTATTTTATTCAGTAGTGAAACATTTGAGTTAGGTTGTGTAACATTTTTTTGCTGAGCATATTTACTGTTACTTGACGCTTATTAATAAAAATGTAACTATTGAAAATGTTGTATAAATTTACGATGATTTACACCTTTGCTTTAGGAGGAATACCGTCGCGTTGTAGGTACCTATTGTAAAGTCAAAGCGCTGGTTCGTAGTTTAGATTACTCAGTGTGTCAGTGTTAGGTCTTAATCATTCGTTAGTACCTTTAAAAATATTTATAAATAGGTAGTTTTTCAATAAAATAATTCTTAATAAAATAAATTTAATAAACTATGAATGTAGCATTTAGACATAACAGGAATATACTTTTAAACTAAGCTTTACAATTGCTAGTACGAGAGTATTTACAGTTAGTAGCAACTTTAATAACAGTTGTGTAAATAGCTATTACTATTATAGAGGTCATAGTCACAATTTCTCAAGTACTTAGATTACAAGCACACACGCATTATAATAGTAGAAACAATTTGTGCAATTGTAGTGTACTTATGTTCATTCAATTTCGTAATTAAGCTAGTACAGCAACATTGCGCAACTCTAATGATACAAAATACCGGTGTTTTTGTAATATAGCTATCGTGAGGAAATTTAATGACATCATGGCTTAACATTTCACATAAATGCACATAAAATTTTATATTTATTCGGAAAAATTGGGTAGGTAATATAGGCAGGTACAGTCGGCACCAAAAATTCTGAATTACTTCATAAAATTATGTTGAAAAATTATGAAAACTTAACTCTCGAGTGCTGCTAGCTTAACGTTAGCGTTAACGCTAGCGTAACTTAAGTTATATTTTTTGCTTACAGCATAATAAATACGTCAAGTCAATAAGTAAGGTTAAGTTAACATTATTACATTCACCTTACAAGAAAATTTGCATCACATATGAACTTAGTTCAACCAACTTATAAATAATGAAACATAGCTATTAAGTATTATGTAAATTATGAAACCTGCGTAATTATCACCATAATAATACCCTATTATTTGCCAGCCCCTTGCATTTATAAAGAGATCAAGTGACTATAATTAAGCTGGTGTTAATTATTAAAATTAATTGCTGATTGCGCCGGTGTTGGCCACATATCGTGCATACTTTCTTTAGTCCTATTCGATCTGTTTTTTCCTGGTTCAGTAATTTCACATCATATGGTCTCTTCGTGGAAAAAGTCTTGCTCATCACACTTGTCAGGAAGGCACACAAAGAATTCGATCAGATTCATTATTGGGCCCCTAGAAAAGGGATTCTGGTAGCGTCCTCTCTTGTCGCGAAGATACGGGTATCTTTTGTAGTTGAACATTTCGTTCGTTGTCAAGTTCATGCAGGCGTGCAGTATCTGTAAGGAAACACTTGGTTGTACTTGAATAGCTCATTTAGGGTCCACAATAATTCATTAACGCTGCCTTAAAGGATTGAATGAAACGTGATTAATATAACAAAGTATTTATACCAAAGGTCACGTGGTAAATAAAAGGAAAACGAACTGAAATAATCGAAATGTACCTAATTTTGAATGGAGACTGACTAAAACAATTCTAAGTAGGTATTAATGTCATAGCGAACGAAAGTTTAATAGGTAGGTAGGTATTTTAAAAGGATGTGCGGAAGAGATTTTCAAGACCAAGAATCAAGCTTTACTTAGATATCTTTACTTTATGCTCGTACCTACACCAACTGTCTAAATAACGCAACACCCCAGCCAGCTGCAATGTACACGTGTACAAGTTCAATAAACACTGAGAACTTGGTTACAGCTTTTAAATTTATAGATTTGGCATTTTATAACCGTACCTACTCTTTTTGTGCTTACATTGTAGTTAAAAATAGCTTATCAGATTGGCAAGTATCCAGCAGCTAAATAGGGAAGTGGTCTAAACAAGGACTTACAGATGTGCAGGTGAGTATCCAGCCAAGTGCGCAGAAGGTGATAGCTTCCAGTAGGCCTAGGACGTAGAGAAGACCGAAGCCTTCCAGCAGGAGACAGTAGCAGGCGAAGTATATTGAGAGAGTGCAGTTGATGGCCACACTCATTACGAACAGAAAGAACCACATTCGATTCCGCACTCCCACGCAGTTGTATATGAAGGGGCAGTGGTGGTCGAAGTATGCCACGCAACGCTTGCAGATGCGGCAATGTTTCGCTCTGAGAACAATCAAAATATTATGGGTGCGAAATAACCCTGCCGTTTTTCCTGGTGACAAAATCTATACAGGGTGGAAACGATAAGTGATCTCACTCGATTATTTCTAAACTATACCAAATATCGAAAAACTAGTTACTGATCCTGAAAGTGCTTCACGAGCTCTTTTAAATGGTACCAATAACAGGTTACAGAATAAACGGGATCTATCCGAAAATCCAATGTTTCCAGCTTCCATACTAAATGTATGCCAACCACTCAATATTAGAAGAGTAATTTTTTTTAAACTTAGAATAAACTCGTAAATTACATTCTCATTTATAATAATTTATCGAAAACCTAATGTTTTCTTAGGCTTTATTTGCTATAAAATTTGCTATAATATTATCAAGAGATGAGTGCCATATCTGTGATAGTACCTACTAAATGTATGGAAGATGGAAACATTGATTTTTTAGATAGAACCAGTTTATTCTGGAACTTAATATTAATACTATTGGTTAGAGCTCGTGAAGCACTTTTAGGATCAGTAACCAGTTTTACGATATCTTTTGTAGTTTTTAATATTATGAGGCTGTACCAAATGTATGGAAGCCGGAAACATTGAATTTTCGGATAGATCCAGTTTATTCTTTAACTTATTATTGGTATCGTTTGATAGAGCTCATGAAGCACTTTCAGGATCAGTAACTAGTTTTTTGATATCTTGTATAGTTTAGAAATAATCGAGTGAGATCACTTATCGTTTCCACCCTGTAGATGTATTAATTTACCTGCCAGATGCTTTGTAGATCAATAGCACGAGTAGGTAACTATCGTAATCGTATAAAAACAGTTTGAGGCGCTCTGTCGTATTTTCATACAAAATAAGAAATAGATACGATTATCTACCATTACTTACTTATACCATGATCGATAAACCTATTTATTACTAGGGTAGTTACCTACTGATCTACAACACACAAGATACTTAAGTAACTCTGAAATTTTATCAGTATTTATTTTATTTAAAACTTATTTGCTCATTGAACAGGGTTCAAAAAGCTTAATGCATTTTTGGTATTCTCTTCCAGTTAACCTTTGGTTGTTCAAAAGTTTAACAAGAAAAAGCGGAAATGAGAGAAACTAAAACTAACTATTATATTAAGTAGGTACCTTAAAGATGATATTCTTAAGTGGATTTATGTGCAGGTAAGTATTGCACACCACACACACCAGGAAGAGTTCTAAGTATTTTAACTAAATAAACGTCCTTAAACTTCTTCGATAAGAAATATTGACTTTTCTTAAAAGCACAAGTTTTTATATTTGCATGTAAATACTTTACGTACGGGAACTTCCCGTAATTGGTCTTTGTTTTTTACAAGCTTTTATTTGACTTCGCTTGTTAGTTATTTTTGTAGATAAGTTTGGGTAAATAAAATAGTGAACCGCCACTTTTTTTTGGAAACGAGTTAAACTCAAGGACAGCTAAGAATTAGGTAGTACCCATTTAAATTAGGTACTTACCTATTTGAAACTTTTTTATCTTCGTTTTGATTTGGTGTTAGATGCGCCCTGTCAACTATCGGGGCTAAATTTATTAGCATGAGTGGGCTCACCACAATCGACTTCGTAAAAAGTGACATTAAAAGTATGACGGATTGTTTGTACCACAGCGCCCCTAGCCTAGGGAAAAAAACTTTCAAAAACTAAAATCTTCATTATATTTTTTAACGCAGTCGATATCGAATGCGTTTGACGTAAATTCCAACTCCCCCAGGGGCGGTGGGGTTCGAACCAGCGTTTCTCGGAGGGTCCGTGGCCGAGTCCCCCAGTTTTCGACGCACCCGTGGTCGACGCCCCCGGTCAGTTAAATTCGATTTGAAGCAATTTTTAATCAAATGTACAGTCAGGCACAAAAATGTTTATAAACGAATAAATATTTATTAGGCCAGTAGAATTAAACACAAAAATGAATCTAATGAAATGAAAATAATTCCTACAAAAGTTTTTTGTTTCTTACTACTGCTGGTTTTGGGTTAAAATTTTGCTCCCAGATTGCATAAATAGCGTCAAACATGCATAGTTTAGTATAATAATTAGCTTGTGAAACTTTTTTCGTTGACTGTACTTAGTGCAAAAGCCGAAAAAAACATGATATTAAATTTATTTAAATCGGGGGCGTCCACCACGGGTGCGTCAAATACTGGGGGACTCGGCCACGGACCCTTCTCGGATCCCGAGTCGGCTAATCCAAAACCGCGACACCGGCACCGTTGCAGTTGGGCTATTATTGACTGCGTTTGGCCGAAAATAGCGCTTGTTAGAAATTTTTAGCAAAATGGCGATCGCCATGGTAATCGCCGAAAACTTTATCATGTTTTTGGCAGGGACACGTTTGCTAACTTCAAAAGTGACGTTACCCATTGGATACATTTTATTAGCAGTGTTAGCACTTCGGTAAGTGCTGCTAAATAATGTAAAGCTGTTAAAAGGACGCCATTTTTCTTACTAGCGCTATATTCGGCCAAACGCCCCCGTTGTCACTTACCTCAACGGCCTCAAGCACCGGCAAGTGTGGCACAGCCGTGAGAGGATCACGTTCCGTTTCTTCCACTTGTCGTAGTACGGTATCTGGCGGATGGCGCGGTAGTAGGTCTCGGAGTTCTGCGGGATGTAGCCCGGGTCGCGCCGGTTGGCGATCACCCAGCTCAGCCACATGATCGCGTTCCAGTAGAGGAAGCAGTAGTGCGATAGGCGTAGAGTGTTCCAGGTTAGGGGTATGCACTGGGAAATTATAATCAGTAAGTAAGTAGGTCACTTTAGCTTTAAGCGGTGAGAGCAGCCGCTTGGCAAGTGAAAGTGTGGTTTCAATTCTCACCGCAATCCAATAATCCCGATTTTAAGTTTAAAAATCTATTTTACTAAGACTAGGCGCAGACCACCGGTTTTTAGTTGGTCGATAGTTGTGCCCGATTTTAAATTAAGTATGAAGATTAATCGGCCAAATCAAATCGGTGTAATGTGCGCACTTCCATACATGCCCATACTGATCAACTGCCCGACTAAACTATCGGCCGACGAAAAATCGATGGTTTGCGCCTAGGCTAAATCTATTTCATTCTGATTTTAAAATGAGAGTGGCCTAGCTCCTCAAACATTTTTACATGCAATGAATGAACACGAAATCACAATAATCTTAAATTAACTTTTATAGTAGGAAAAATAAAAATATGAGACTCAAAAGATCAGAGTACTTACGCGAATAACATACATCGGGTAGGCCCACAAAAGTACGGAGACCAAGAAGAACAGCAGCGGTCCCTTGGAGTCCCCGGCGCCTCCGAACAGCAGCGCCCACAGTTCCGACAGCGGCGGCATCCAATGGGACTTGCGCTTCATCTCCTTCTGGAGAAGCTTCACCACTTCGGCGTGACGGTGGCTCTGGGCCAGCATGAGAGGCGTCTTGCCGTTCTTGTCCCGAGGCTCTAGTTCTGCCTTCACCTAAAAACAAATGAACAGTCCGAATTTTCGACAGTCCTACTTGTCTCAACTTCTAAGGTTTTGTTGCACCATCTTACTTTAACTAAGTAGGTATAATAAACGTCAAAAGGCTGTCAAACTTCATACAAAAAACACCGGTTATGGTTATAGTTAGGGTTAAAGTAAGGCGGTGCAACTCAGCCTCAGATAGAACGCCAATATTACCTTTTCGCATAGCAGCCTGACGCAGGTCAGATTGCCTGACAAGCACGCCAGGTGGAGCGGCGTGGAACCGAAGTTGTCCGTGCAGTGCAAAGGGACCCCTGAGTAAATCAGCAAACGGACCAAATCTGCGTGGCCTTTGTACGCTGCCCAGTGCAGTGCGGTGTCTCCATTGATGTCTGAGAGCCTGGTGGCAGCGCCCATGCCTAGCAAGTAGGCTGCTGTCGCCGTTTTCCCATACATACAGGCTGTCATTAGCGGTGTTAAACCTGAAAGTATACCTTCATTATAATATTTACTGGACTATGTTGAATGAAGCATAGCTGTAAATATATTATTTAAAAACTATTACTTATGTTGCTTTTTACGGTATATAAGATATTTACCCTCCCTACATTTCTACTCGGTTGCACGGNTTTTATAAAATTTTACTGATCGAGAGCCCTTGTACTTGTCTCAACTTCTACTAAGGTTAGGTTGCACCATCTTACTTTAACTACTTAAGTATAACAAACGTCATAAAAGGCTGTCAAACTTCGGTTAGTAAGGTGGTGCAACTCAGCCTAAGATAGAGCGCCAATATTACCTTTTCGCAAAGCAGCCTGACGCAGGTCAGATTGCCTGACAAGCACGCCAGGTGCAGCGGCGTGGAACCGAAGTTGTCCGTACAGTGCAAAGGGACTCCTGAGTAAATCAGCAAACGGACCAAATCTGCGTGGCCTTTGTACGCTGCCCAGTGCAGTGCGGTGTCTCCATTGATGTCTGAGAGCCTGGTGGCAGCGCCCATGCCTAGCAAGTAGGCTGCTGTAGCCGTTTTCCCATACATACAGGCTGTCATTAGCGGTGTTAAACCTGAAAGTATACCTTCATTATAATATTTACTGGACTATGTTGAATGAAGTATAGCTGTAAATATATTATTTTAAACTATTATGTTGCTTGTTTTACTATAAAATATAACGGTATATAAGATATTTACCCTCCCTACATTTCTACTCGGTTGCACGAATCATGGTCGCGGGCAGACAATTAGGGCAATTAGGTAATTAAATCCACCTTCTCGATTGAAATTCTTGTACTTTTTAATTTCAATAGCTTCACGTATCAACCTAACATGGTAAATATACCATCAGCATGGAATCCGGTCAATCCGGTGATAACGAAGTGCAAATCGCGTTCTAAGTAGGCCGTCTCAAAGAAACTCGGACACTGTTAGTGTAGTTTGTTGGACTGACTGTACCACTGACGAAAATATTGTGCAAATGCGGGTGGGTGAAGAAAATTCATCGAACCGGGCAGACGACGCCGCATCTCTTCAGTCTGCCCGCGTCCCGCGACAATGACTAGTGCAACCGAATTGATTGAAACGACGGGAGGGTAAATAAATCTTATTTACCGTTATAAAAGTTTTGTTTGTAAAATCCCGTGGAGTGATAATTTTATAGCTGTAAATGGTTGTTTCGTTAAATTTAATACCTTTGAAGTCTGCCGCGTTAACAGCTACTCCTGATTGCAATAAAACTTGGACCACAGAAGCGTGGCCTTTGCGGCAAGCCCAGTGGATGGGACGTGGACCCTATAATGAAAATGAGAAGGTAATTGTATGTACATTACTGATTGCAGACCCGACTAGGTAATTTATAGCAGTTAGCACTGTTGAGTGTCAGTTCCGTCAAGTGGTCAATTGGTTAAACAAAATAAAGTTTAAATGGTTTCTAACTTGCGTGTCAGTACTAAGTACGCATTAAATTGGAATTGGCCAGCCAGCACGAAGGCCCTTGAAATTAAATGATTCGATGTGAATTCACGAGTGAAATCGGCCGTCCAAATAAACCTATTCCTCGGAGCCGGTCTGTACCGGAAGCTATTTTTGAAAGCAGGTGTACCTTATTGGCGGTTGGACTTGGAAGTGCTTCCACGGCCAAAGTATAAAAACAGAAAATATTAGTTAAGCCTGGTTTTTGTATTTACTTGAGTGCCGAGGCAGGACAGGTCGACGGGCGCGGCGCGCTCGACGAGGTAGCGCATGACGGCAACGCTGCCGTCCAGCGCCGCCCAGTGCGCGGGGGTGTAGCCGTGCTGGTCGCGGGCGCTCAGCACTTCCACCCCCAGCTTCTCCACTAGACGCTCGATCTCTGATACTTCACTGCAAAAAGTTATTAGGTTATAGGTACATACCTAATAAACTAAAACAGGCGATTACTTAATCCAATGGAGGAATTAACGCCCGTACCTATTCACAAACGATGCTTAAGTGAAGCAGCAAATCGAACACACAGCGTTGAATAGAGCTCTGTGACTGGTTCGTGTGTAACCCTGTGCATCCACGCGTGCTATGAGACCTCATAGTAATGTTTGAGAATACGGGCGTAAGTTACGTCTACAATCGGTTTAGGGTTTACTTANAGGGTTTAGTAGGGCTATGGTTTAAAAAAGTACGTTCGTAGTAACATGTACTGTAAGTACACTTATTTGTCTCTTAACGATTTCTGTGGGTAATTTAAAAACGTGACAAATTGTATTTTTTTTCTGTAAGTATGAGTTACTGGCAGACCATGACGCGACATGATATTGTATTGGTACGCCATTAAAAAGAACAAAAAAGAGCTTAAATAAAAACCGCTTTTATGAATTTACCTAGGCTACGTTCCACGATACGGTAAGAGGTAGGGTCGTACTTATAGCATTGTCGGTTCTAATCGACAGTCAATATTCACCGATACTTTGTAAACTTACCCGGAGCGCACAGCTTCAAATATGAGTTGGTGAAGATCGGAATGATGGTTGAAGCTGGTGATGGTCCTTGGAGGCGCTGCGGGCGCGTCGGGCGACATGGGCGAGCACGGGGGCAGAGCCTCCTCGGCCGCCATGGTGCACGGGGGCGGCTGCGGCAGCGCCCAGACGCCGCGCGCCGCCCCCGGGCTGGGGTATACCTGGACAAACGAAGTTCAGGGTAAAGTCACGGAAAACAATCTCGATTGACAAGGGGCCTATCGTATTACTGTATCATCTGTAATACTAGGCGTTACTTAACCTACGAGGGAGTGGGTTAAGTATCTAAGTACCTGACGATTATTCTATTAGTCCAAGTTAGTACGCATGATGGTTATTTACTTAGTTCCCTTTAATTAGATATGTAAAATAAATTATTGTTATTAATTAATACTAATTTATTAAAGTATAGGTATAGGTAAGTACTTAAGTAGGGATCTAATTTGGTTAACTTCGATGGGGTCACCGGTGACGTTAAAGGCCACGCAAAAGGGTGCGAATGTAGGTACGAAACTAGGACAAAGCATAATTCATGATAATAACTTTTTATTATTTTAACAAATTACGTACTGTCTAATTGCGACCTCTCAGTAATTAGTACCATCATCGGGGTTTCTTCTTACCTTACTACTCACGGCGAGGCCGACGCCCCCCGCCACAGCTTGATTCTCCCCTTCCACGGCCACTTCACCGGCTAACTAGCACACTATGAAACTAAAATCCTACTTAATTAATACAAATAAAAATAGGATCACAATTACTTGCGTGACATGCAGTCACTAAAGTCCAAACACTTGCTTATCGATCCACGTCGTTTGAAAGGAGCATGCGCCGCGCCGTATTTCATCAAAGAACATATTGGCACAAAACCTCTGCAGTACTATTAATTAATTAAGTAAGTAGTCGTTTGTAATTGATGTGATAATCTTTGCATAATTGTTGATCGTTGAATTCATTAACGGATTTGGATGAAACTACTAGGTTTCGCATTCATTGGTCTCTACAAACTTTTTGTGATAATTTGATGGATAGAGGTCATAATTTCCAAAGGCAATAAGCCTTTGATGATTGATCTTTTTTAGAACTTATACAATATCACTTAAATTGTCATTATCAGTAATTACTAAAATAATTTTTAAAAGCGTGGCCATGCATGACCATAAGAAATGTCAATCGGTAGTGAGACTTTTTTGTTTTGTTTGTATTAAAACCTACGATACATTTTTGTTGCAAAACCTATTCAAAAAACATGAAAAGAAAGTCATGTTAATTAATGTAACTTCAGCATACTTATGTGCCGCATTAATTTATTACTGTAGTAAATTAGTGCGTAAGGAGCGGAGTATACACGTGTTTTTATCATGATAAAGAAACGTGTTTGCAACACGTGAGACCAAAAAGGCCTAGTGATTTTGCGAATTTTATTAGACAATCTTGATAGAGAGAGCTAATGTGATGATAAGTATAATCCATGGTCGATTATATTATATTAATCAGTAAGTAGGTATACTTACCTACCGCAACGCACTACCAATTATTTTTATTTTAAACCGAACTTAGATTGTCGGACCTCTCGTTATCATCGCTGCAACTCTTATAAACCTTCTATTAAGGTTTTTTTAAGAGTAGCAGCAGTGGTGGTAGATGCATCTATGCCTGCCTGACCGCCAATGAAACCCAACCATTGATTAGGTAAACTTCTAACAAAATAAATTTTAGACTATCCATAATTCTTTCATTATAGGGAGTTTAGATATATCTTATTTCTAATTAGAGGTACAATCACAATGTTTTAAGCAATTCCCAATTAATTTGTGTAAATCTGAAAATCTTACGTATTTACATACTTATGATGTTGAACTACTAGCGCCATCTAGTTAGGTGAACTAAAATAACATTTCAAAGATTCGCTTCTGCTTTTAGGTTACCTATCGCCAATAGTTCACCACAATTGCCACACGGTTTTAAAAATTAACTAAAAGTTATAAAATGAATACAAGCCATTTTAATGTTAGAAACAAAAAATACCTATACCATTTCAATAAAATTCAAACCACTTTTAACTTTGTTGAATCAGTAGTGCAGCAGTTATGTAGTACTAATTAGAATGAGTCATCAATGGTTCAGTGATGAATCGGTCGAAGAGAGACCTGCCAGAGTCTAGGCAAAAATAATTTTATTGAAGTGTAGGTATTCATGAATGGAGCCAAATTTTATTGTTTATACAAAAATTACAAATATAATTCAGAGAAATGAATAAATAGAATCAAAACACCATTTAAAATTGTGAAAATGAACTTTAATTCAGCAAATTTTATACTAAATGTATAAATATGATATAATCTAGATTTCGTTTCACTACCTAAATAGACATCATGTTATAAAAAAGTGTACAACTAAAACTAGTAGCTGATTAAACATCTCAATGTGGCTTATCAATTAGTAAGATCTTGTAAAAGCACTTTGTTTAAAATGGTTTATTATACTTAAATAATAGATAAAAATAATGAAAGCTTTATAGCTTACAGCTGATGTTGAACTTCCAAACAACAATCACTTTCAATACAAATCTTAAACTTCTAGTAAACTTGAAACATTTAACGAGCAAACTGAATAAATTATTATTCATAATAAGAAACAAACTTAACAATGTCGATAGCTCAAAGTAATAAAATATTTTCAACAAATGTCGACTTCACAAATAGTTAGTGTACATAATAATAATAATCAGAATTCAGGACTATTTCGATGCAGTGTATGTCAATGCCAATTAATGATAATGATTTCTTTTCGTCTATTAATTACTGTATTGATATTGTTTGTTCAAGTCTTTCTTCGCAGCATTATCTTTTTTGTGTTTTGAAACTCACAGAGAGAGGTTGGCCATGAAGAACATAGCCATTTAATGCTTGTATCGCCATCGCGGCTTGGTCATAATTTCGCATAGTCACAAATCCAAATCCTTTACTCTTATTAGTTTGATGGTCTTTAATTATCTTAACCGACACAATAGCACCATAAGGACCGAACAACTGCCACAGAGTCAACTCTTCCACCTCTGGAGCAATATTATAAATATAAATAGACCATGTACTCGGAGAGTTGTGGTCACCCATAGCACCCATATGATTAATCCAATGATAAGGCTTCACCAAGGAATTCTTAGTAAAATTATTGTTAAGGTTTTTATGTTTATTTGGATTACTCTTATTAGCATACTTAACAGTTAACGGATGTAAAAATCCAGGCGGAGTTGAACCATTAATATTTTGAATGGCTCTCTCCGCTTCATATTGGTGTTCATATAAAACGAATGCTATACCTGCCGCTATACGGGAATTAACTATTTTACCAAATTGTGCAAATAGACCATGTAAATCCTGCAAGGTCAGTTCATTGGGCAGGTTACACACGTAGAGGTTCCAGTCTGCTTCCGGTTTCGACGGCGGCTTCAGTTCCGGGTTGAGGAGTGCATGCGACACTTTGAGCGTCTTATTCTGCATCAGGAGGCCGTTAAACGCCTTCCTTGCTTTTATTGCATCCTCAGGACAAGTGTACTCCACGAACCCATAGCCTCGGTTCGCTATAAGTTTACAACTTTCCAATTTACCCATTGTCGAAAATAGTGAAAACATCATATCCTGGGTCATAACTTCAGGAATATAATTGACGATAAGTTTCGTAGGTGATTCGTCGGGCCCATAATCGTTAATTCCTTGACAATTACCGTCTTGACACGATTCCGACATTTTTTAATTGTTGTCGGTGAATGACATTTCTCCATAGAGCTCATATTCTTTTTTTTATTTTTCGTTCGGAAATTTAAGCACGTGGCATAAAGTTTCAGTAAGCATTCATCTGATAAAAAAACGTATCCTTGGTTTGGCGAAGATTAATTTGTTTAATAGTTTTATTTTAATGAGTTTTAGTACGATTTAACGATTCATGAGATTATTGCAGATTACTAATAAACAGACAGTCGCTCGTGTGTAAAATAGCATATAGATGACCCACGCTGAACTGTCCCGCCAAACTCAATGACAAGGGGGCGCTACCATCGTTCAACTATATGGTTTCCAACATGGCAAAAATCTGAAACAGCGATCCGGTCACAGAATAAGTAATAGTACAGGTACAGAAGGATTACTCCGCAAGACGATTTAAATAAATGCGAGTCTTGCTACGACGCGATACAGTGGAATTCAGCTCGCACAGCACTACGTACCTACAATTTTATTCACCTACAAGTTTTGTCTCTTTCTATCGCGTGCCTCTGAACTCTTCTTACGCTGTTAGGGTTGCTGTCTAAAGATGACCCACGCTGAACTGTCCCGCCAAACTCAATGACAGGGGGGCGCTACCATCGTTCAACTATATGGTTTCCAACATGGCAAAAATCTGAACCAGCGATCCGGTATTGACGGTGGCGCCCCACTGTCAATGTCATCGACAGGACAGTCCAGTATTTTGGAACTATAGTAGTGTCTAGTAAAAAAATAATTAATATACTTATTTGTAATGAGGTACGTATGTAGGTAAGTATGCATTCATTATGGAAAACCTTCATAGTAGGTTAGGTTCCTATACTATCCTAAGAGATTACCCAGAAATTGGGATTGTAATTCCCTGATTCGCCAACACATTAAGCCTAAATGGCCGACAATTTTGTGATTTTTTATTTAACTAGATAATCTTAGTTTCAAATATTAATTATTTATTTGTTGAACTTCTGATTTGGTTAGTGAATTGGCTATTTCGAAGAATTTACAAGGAGATTTAAATAAGAAGATAGCAATACTACAGTTCACACTAAAAAGAGAGGTAGGGCCACAGAGAGCGAGATAGATATAAGTAGGTATTTGACTCAAGTATTTGTTCCAACTTTGCCCTCCATTTTTATCTTTAGCTTCATGGTCGAATCGTATCCACCATCCACATGGATTAGAGATCCACCCACTATGCCGATCACCGATGCCGTCACTATGCCACGTGCCACATCCCACAGTTTTTCACTAGATGAATGAAGATAGAAATATTGATTGTATATTTGTATGGTTTTAGCGATTACAAAGACAGTCATCTAAGTTATTTCCTATAGAACTATGCGGTAGGTATCATAAATAAAGTTGATAAAGAAATATGTTCACTTCGTTGGTTTGTAGGATTGGTTTTCATGCACTTGATCATTATGGTCATGGTCACTCATATTTGGCACTACTATANTCAGACCACTGTGCGGCGGGGCGCTTCGCTGTAGGTAATTATCGGATGTACCGCGCGGAGTGAGCCAGGCCTGATCCGGTATTGACGGTGGCGCCCCACTGTCAATGTCATCGACAGGACAGTCCAGTATTTTGGAACTATACTTGTCGGATCGTATCCACCCACTATGCCGATGCCGTCACTATGCCACGTGCCACGTCCCACAGTTTTTCATTAGATGAATGAAGATAGAAATATTGATTGTATAGTTTTAGCGATTACAAAGACAGTCATATAAGTTATTTCCTATAGAACTATGCGGTAGGTATCATAAATAAAGTTAATAAAGAAATATAGTTCACTTCGGTATGGTTGTTTTTCATGCACTTGATCATTATGGTCATGGTCACACATATTTGGTACTACTATCAAACTACCATGGACTGATCTGAAAGCAGCCGCGTGCAGGAAATCTACAAAAACTAGGTGGCACAACACTGTTGTGTGTTGTGACAACAGCCAAAATGAGATACAAAATGGTTTTGACAGGATAAAACTGCGCCGTGCACAAAGTTGGCACAACGAAACAATGTTCATTTAGCACATTTAATATGGGTCACGGCGATTGTTTCAGTATTGTCTTGTCAGTGAGCAATGAAGGGGCGTTGGGAAAACTGTAACATACAAAAAAATCACACCAATAACTATGTATGCTTTATATTTTCATATGTACACACAATGTATATGTCCATTGATAAATAACGTACAAGTGCAGTATAGTACATGATAATACGTATACATACGGTATAATGAACTTGATTACATGGTGTTCTATAGAAAATGCATAATTTGAGACTTAGAGGGGTTTCCACTACGACAGAAGACTAAAGGTGTACAGTCAGCGTCAAATAGTTCGTTACACCCAAAGTAGCCAAAAAATTCGCAACACATCTTCCCAACTAATATTATAAATGCGAAAGTAACTCTGTCTGTCTGTCTGTCTGTTACGCTTTCCCGCTTAAACCTCGCAACCGATTTTGATGAAATTCGGCATAGAGATAGTTTGAGTCCCGGGATCTTTCCCGGGACTCAAACAAAAAAAACCGGGATAAAAACTATCCTATGTTCTTACATAGGATAGTTTTTATCCCGGTTTTTGAAACAGGGACGCGCGCGATAAAGTTTTTCTGTGACAGACAAAATTCCACGCGGGCGAAGCCGCGGGCGGAAAGCTAGTTGTAACAATAAATGGAAAAGTTGTGTTGTCAACTTTATGGCCACTTTAGATGTCACGAACTATTTTACGCCGACTGTACCTGCCTATAACAGGTCTAAAAACAATCGAAAGACCTACAAAAACTACTTCTACGTATTTCAGGTACGAATTTAAGGTCCCAGATAAATGTTTTTTAACAGCTAATTTTATCTTTTTTTGTCAGAAGTAGGTAGTTATTTTATATGGGTAAGGAAAGGTACCATACTTTTTCGTAAGTCTCCTCGACATAACATTTTGCCTCTATATTTATTTTTGCGGGATCATAGGTACATCGCGGTTACAAGATTGCGATACACATACTACACGCGTAGCCTTTATTGAAAGTATTTTGTGAAAACAAACTAACAGAAGCTCAGAGCCAGCCTAGTTTTGGTCCTAAAACTCACTACGAGTTCTTAATGTATTTAATGTAAAATTATCATTATTATAATGTAAAAAGTATATTTAAAAAGCCTCAATGTTCATGTTAAGTCGAGAAGACTTTTACATCTTTATCAAAGATTAAAGTTAGACAAAGTAGCAAGGGTAACTAGCTCGTACAGCCGATTTATAGTGGAAACTGATCTCATCTCTTATCTTATGGGACGTTTCATGTCATTTATTATGTCAATGAATATTAAAAATAATGGATTACTATAATTATTACAGAAATTTGTTATTAACTTTTATATTAAAAAATGAATTATAAATATTTTTCTTCCAAATGTTTGGAATCTTTAAATGTTTTAAGTTTGACATGAAATGCTCCTATTTATATTCCATACAATGCTTGATTAATTTAATAGAGATGCAATACACGATAAAAATACATTACAAACACATGACATTTACAATAAAAATGTAAAATACACATTTATAAAGCCACAATCAATAAAAAGAAGATTACATACTACAGGTAATAAATGGACACAGCCAGAGCATAAAGGAATTGGGAACATTTACCAACTAAACAATATAATACAACAACTTGTACGATTGAATAGCACACAATAATATATTATTTTATCAATGCAGTTGTGAAGTCTAATGTAATTTCACAGGAATTTACGCATAGGGCTAATTATTTTTACTCACTTATGTCATATTGAAATGTAGTCATAAAATATCCCCAAATAAAAACCTTTATTATCATCTTAAGTGGCAAATCATTTCATAAAAATTATAATAATCATTTTTGGAAACAACATTCTCGAAATACTTTCATGTCCAATTTGGTGAAATAAAATTGATATTAGCAATAAATTTTAATGTTTTGCTATGATGACAAACAATTTATAAATAATATTTTTTTAGATTGAAATTTTCTTTCACATAGAGAGCAATAATTCCGTACTTGTACTCGTCTAAATAAATTGATTCAATACTCATCCAAATAAACGTAACCGTAAGAATAACTGGCAACACTTTACATACATTATGTACTCATAAATGCTAGGCGCTTGACCCTGTGTCATGAAAATATAAAATTATATTTAAAATTGATCTTTATTAAAACTATAAAAAGTAAGTAAATTTTGATATTTTTTGATAATAGCAAAACAAAGGCCTACATACTACATTTAAATCTGTAGGTTCAACATGGTCTAGCTAGATATATTAGCAAAAGTGCAAAGTTTTTGCTTTATTGTGGTTTTTCACATCGTTTTGATTTATTTTAATAAATTAAATTGTGATACAATATATTAATAACAGTAGTAATATTAGAATTTTCGTTTTATAAAAATAAAGTTAATATTATCTCAGATACATTTTATATTCGATTGTTACANATTTTAAATTAAATTGTGATACAATATATTAATAACAGTAGTAATATTAGAATTTTCGTTTTATAAAAATAAAGTTAATATTATCTCAGATACATTTTATATTCGATTGTTACATACACTATTAAAATCTTAAGAATATTTTATGCAATGTTTTGTAAGCAAGCATATCAAACTTCAACAATAATACATAACAAATATCTACATTAATCAATATATCACATAAAGCAAAAAATACCAGACAGGTACAAAATAATTAAAAGAGAAACATGGACCTATAAAAAAAGTCGGACGGATTCTCATCAACAAAATACTGTGACATTAGGATACACCAGCTTGCCTGTACGTACAGCCGGCACGCACACATTCACACCCTGTTACACCACTTCGAGTGAAAACTTCACACAGTTGACACATTTAAGCAGCGAAAAAACAACACGAATACGACATGTCTTGTGTGANTCTCATCTTAGACACGTATTTCATCAATCAACGAATAATTTAAATAAATTATTATGCATGAATGTCTCTTTCCTTTCCAAATGTTAAAATAAAACTAAAACTAAAATTATGTATAGTCAAAAAACAGTTTAGCTTCGTCATGCTAAATTACCGATACCTATAAGCTATTAAAAGTTGCGTAAAAAAGCAAAATCGTTCGAAATAATTCTACATACAATTATTGTCACGAATACATGTGGATTACGTTAAACTTTGGTTAAAATATGCTTATGGGTATTTGAGGATCGATCCGAGGCTGGCGTAGGTGCCGAAAACGAACCCGGTGAAGCCGAACATGATGATGAAAATGTCTTTCCACATTTTCCACCCGTGCTTCCCGAGCTGGTCGGGCCAGAAAGTTACGATTTCGATGAAGGGCGGGAAAATGAGCGCTAGCGCCGAACTGCTGAAAGCGCCCACCAGCGAAATAATACCGCTCAAGTTGGGGATTAGCGCCGCGGCTGAAACTGCACAGATAATGAGTTAGATGACCTCACCCTCGTGGCGGCTCGACAGATAAATGCAATAATATCCGTCATGCGATTGCTGGTTATTGTAATATTTCAATATAATAGACGTGGAGTATTTATTCCTTTTGTTTGCACAGGCAGATTCCGCAATAACATAATAAACGTTATTGTTATCAATCGAGCACAATATTATGACCAAATTAATGCAATCTAATGTTATTTATTTACGAAACTCTTTAGTGCGTCTTTTGGCAGAGGGCAAAACGGACGATTCGCAATCGACCTATTGTATGAAAAAAAAATTGCAGGAAGTTCAACTCTTAACATTTTTACCGATAATTCCTATCTAAATTATATAAAGCAATCAATGAGTTTGTAAACAATATAATAAAATATTTCGTACTGCGAGTCGCGAATTTTGCGCCTAAACTTTTTTTATATAATGGCAAGCACGACTTGTGAATTGTATCTATTATGTCTATGGGAATTGTAATCCTAAAGATAAAAGTTATTATTTTTACAACAAACAAATAATCACACTGGATAGGAATGGTCAATGCTCTCAATGCCCTCATTTCAGTACACCCAAATATGATTCGAGATCCCCACCGCATTCGGTTTGATAACCTATGCTCGATATTTATTTCGAAGTAGGTAACTTATCATATCGTGATACATAATTACAATTAACATAAATTGAAATGGGAAACAGACGTTACTCCGAGGTAAAGGAATATGCGAATTATCACAAATTGATTGGGATGTGGTTTTGGACTCTTAATACTTGAGGTCTGCATGGAACGTTACACAATCAGAGATTTGAATTTTCTTAACGTTTTTATCTAAAACTTGTTCATCGACTTAGGCGATGAGTAATTCGTACAAGCATTCGTTAATTTTGGCAGATCACGCGGACTTACGCACGCATCTGATATGTACCAGACCGGTTTTTCTAAAATTTGGGTACATGACAGTATCTAAGTAGGCCTATTTATAATTTGGTTTTATTTATGAGCATGAATAATCGAAATTATATAAAAAAATTGAATATCATTTAATATTCCGTACTAACACTGGCATACCTAATCAAACACCATTATTAGAACAATGTATTCGTTTACGATAGAGGCCTTGAAAATGTAGATCGTTAACATAATATAATCAATACTTACATGTGATGAATATGAGCGCGAATCGCGTCACCGCCTCGCCATGTTTGAGCGCTCGCTCGGAAGTCAGCTTGGACTTAACGTAAGGCCACACGATGTTCATTGGCACGTAGAACTGCAGACCATACGACAAGAAGATGGATGCTGCCATCACTGCTCTAACGCTTTGCGCCAATCTGGAAATTTTGAATATTGGCGCTGGATTACAATATCCTAATTGTTTTGTGAAATTGCCTTTAGCTATGAATATTTAACCCAATTTATATTAAATAGTAGTCGATACTATGATTAATAACGCCGCAATAAATCTATTAGTTGTTATTGTTGTTAAGAAGAGATCTAATAACTAATTTTCCTATACAATGTATTTTGTTTTTGGAATAAATAAATGTGAATGTGATCAACAAGAAACGATATGACTATTTTCACGTAAACTCTGTAATAAACTCTTTTGGCGGTCTTATAACAAGATACGAGTATTAGTATACATATTAAATAGCTCAATATAGGAGTACCTATTTCAAATGTCCGGAAAAGTATGCCATACGCGAGCTATGACGTCACCACCACTAGGTGATGACGTAAGTGAGACTTAATAAAATTTTCTCAAGACCCAGTTATTTTTATTAGCATGTGTGTAATGAATTAAAAGAGTTTATGAGTTTTGCGGGCTATAGCAATTTAGTTATCCTGTGGATCTCATTTCAGATTCTGTGGGCGGGGCACATAGCTTGTAGAGCTGATGACCAATGGGGCTAAAAAGTGCTCGACGAGCCGGAAGATGGGCATGCCTCCACTAGGTGGACCGAAATCTGGCAAAGGTCGCGGGAAGTACCTGGATGCGGGCATAATGCAGAGCCGAAAAGCCTTTGTCCGGCAGTGGACATCATTTGGCTGAAACGAACAAAATAATGGAAGAAATATGGTATACTTACAGGTCATTTGGCAAATTCAAAGTAATACTGCCCAGTACATGTTCACCATACTTGAGGTACCCAAAGAAACCGATCGCGGTATATAGCGCGGCTACGATCACCATTCCTGTGTTTAGAACGCCCGACCAGCCACCAAAATCTTCAGGAGTCTTCATATTATTTTCCAATGGAAGAACCTGCAATTTTTGTTATCTATATCTGTTCATTTTAAGATTGAGGGTAGAGACACATTTGTAGATAGCGTAAAAGAGGGTTGGTAGTAAATATTATAAAGCGAAAGCTACTACGTTACGAAAGGGCGACTGCTGATATTATAAAAAAAATATAGCAAGGTACAAGTACAGGTGCAACTAGTATTTTTACTTTCATTGTTCAAAAAGATCTTGGTTAAATAATTACTCTTGAATTGTTTTGACTGACTAGCTTCAAGTTTTATGCAATTTTAGAGAAAAGCGCGCGATAAACTCATCCCCGCACGACTCGTAATTTTTCACGTATAGGTGCGAGTTAAAGGACGTTTTTAGATTAGAAAACCAGTACTGTTGTTTATTTTACACCTCATTAACCACTTGATTGTTGGGCTAATACTGCAACATGGATGGATGGATGCAACTGACTTTCAGTGGCTTGATTTAACCAATTTTATATTTCTACTAGCTGACCCGGCGAACTTCGTACCGCCTTAGCGTAGAGATTTTCTTAATATTTTTTTCCGTAAGAACCATCCTTGGACTTCCACAAACATTTAAAAAAAAGAATTATCGAAATCGGTTCAGCCGTTCACACGTGATGCCGTGACAACGCGAAACGGGTTTCATTTTTATATATATAGATATAATCCTAGCTACTATAATAACAGGACTTCCGATGACACCCCTTTTAATTAACCAGCCACTAACAACTACCTTTTATCTATGAGATAACTGCAGTCTTGACTGATTAATAGCCACTTTATAATGAGCAATACTTTATGCAAAGACAGCTTATTACAAATAAATATTTGCTTAAATGTCATTGTAACTTTCCTACCAACACAATAAATAAATTAAGTAAATATTAATTGTGTAACCAATTTATATGAAATGTTCCCACAACCAATTATTACCAGACTTTTTGTTATCTTGTAGTCTCAACAAGAATGTAATTTATTTATCATGCAACCAATTTCAAATAATACTAATATAGGTCACACACATGGCAGACAAAATATTTGTACATCCCAGGTATTTGTTTTTTTATGTGAAACCAGAGAACTGATAATTTTTTTGGACAGCAACAGATATGGATACTTTGGTAATCACCAAATTATCAGTACAAATAAAAATGTAGGCATTATTTTGTCATTTATTAACCTTATGCCTGGGGTAGCAATATAAATAACATTGAACATGGAGTTGTGTAATGTGTTGTCTCTTAAAATATTCAGATGATAGATTAAAAAACATGTTTATCTTAAAAGTATTATAACTTACCACGCCTATGCCTTCAAATGCATATATAGCCGTCCCAAAATATAAAGGCAGTTGATGCCAGCTTGCAAATGCTTTCACAGTATTAGTGCGTGGCAAATCTTGCAATATATAATAGAATGTTACAACTAATCCCCAAGCTGTCATTATAGATGCAATTAAAGAAACTGGTGTCAAATATTTTAAATTCTTCACCATAGCCACTGCTAATATCGCTGGGAATAATAAAGCTAAATAAGTGTGAACACTTAGATTTATATGGAAAAAATGCATAGTATCCTGAAGGTTAGTTGCAACAAACAGAAAATATACACAGCAAAATCCCAGTTGTGTTATCACCAGAAATACATTAATAACTCTCCTGAAACAACAAATAGTGTGAGTTAACAATCATGCTAGAACATGCCAACATTTTTAATAAATGGCTAAAACTTGTTGTAGAGTTCATAGCAGATAAACTTTATCACACATACTTAATCTATTTTTCAGATGATGTCGTTTAATACAAAGGCTGTTAACAAAGCCTGTTCCACCATGTGAAATTTGATTAAGTAACAAAAAAATAAAACTTTTTCAAGAGCAATATTACGACACTGAAATGAATAATATTTTTTTTAAATATCAGTTTGAAAAGTAATTTTAAAGTTAGCTTTACATGTCGAAATAGTGTACTCACTTCATTTTCTTTGCGTAAGGCCTCAATGGAACTGGTCCAGATGTGAATGCATCTTCCACAACTTCTGAAAAGCTTAGCGCTGGCCTCTGATTCCTTATGCACAGTTCATTGGCACACTGAACAAGCATATGCATGCAGTGCGTGCAAATTGCACCCATAAATAAAGTACCAAACACACCTGGGATATAAATATAAAAAAATGGTTTTTAAATTATTCTACTTTTATATACTTCTTAATAACTTTCTTTGGTTCTTTCATTTAATTGTGAATCGAAAAGATAGCTAACTTTTCTAATCTAAGATCACAAACCACCTGTTCATCAATTCACTTACCAAATAATAGACCAGCATTTTTAAAAGCATCTGGCATTGCCAGTATACCTGTGCCAATATTCCCTTTTAGAAGGTGTATCATCGTATCAAAATTTGATGTCGGATGCTCCAAAATCCGTTCAGATGCTGGATGATATTCACTTTTACTTTTTTCATCTTTAGGCACAGTTGGATCGGTAATCAGTTCGACGTTCTGTATATCACTATTATCAATAGGAGTGTTAGGTCCTGTTAGAAGTGGTTGCTTCTCGTCATTCATTTTAAATGGTTTAGTAATTTCACAGTTATTGAAGATCCATGCGTTTAGAGATTTAATTCAGTCTAACTTTCTGTATTACAAAATACCCTACACACCGCGCGATTAACATTCGTATCGATTTTTCAATTTGAAGTTTTTTTGTACGTCAATGTCAACTTGACACACAGTCATAGACTAGCTAGAAGGAACAAACCTGCAAGCCTTATTGGCTATCTTTTTATGCACTATTGCTTGCTAACATAACATGTCGAGAGCGACACGACACAACTAAGTGTGTGGATATAGCTTTATTATAAATTGTCTTTGGATATTATATTTGACATTGACTGACATGACAGTAACTTGCAATCATTCATTCAATCAATCTATTATTGTCAATTTCTTGAAGAATTAATATTTTTTCGAAAACAAGCTGAAANGACATATCGGAATGGCACGCTTTGACGATCAACTTGCTGTATCTACTCCACAGATATAGATAGATGCAGCATGTGTCAAAAATTGTATGAAGCCGAGCGTGCCACTTTTTAAACGTCATTAGTGTCATTTTAGCAAATTTTAGTGATTGCCGCAATGTAAAAATAATCGTATCATCGTACTGCATTCACAAAGTCATCGAAATATATCGTGTGACTCGATTCGACAATTAATTAATTCCGATAAAACTGATATTTTGTTATTTATAGCTAGTCTAACTGTGGATTAAAATAAAATTTTATTCTATATTATAAATTTTCTTATCATTTTCAAATCATATTTTTATTGTGCGTAGGTATATCAAAGTAGTGATCGTTAGTCGATTTCATACTTTTAAAAATATCCTAGTACCTAACCTAGTTTCATAAAATAAGGACTAACTCAAGCTTTTTATTTTTAATAAATGTAAAAATGCGTAGTTTTGCCAATACGTTTAGTTTCATAAAGCTAAGTCAGGTACCTAGTTTTGAAGATATTTCTAAACGACTTAATTTAAATGATTTTCTGTGGGCGGTTGATCAAACTAATGTTTTTTAAAGGAATTAAAAATATTGCTACTTATTAATAAAACTAGCTTTCCGCCCGCGGCTTCGCCCGCGTAGAATTTTGTCTGTCACAGAAAAACTTTATCGCGCGCGTCCCTGTTTCAAAAACCGGGATAAAAACTATCCTATGTTCTTTCCCGGGACTCAAACTATCTCTATGCCAAATTTCATCAAAATCGGTTGCGAGGTTTAAGCGGGAAAGCGTAACAGACAGACAGACAGACAGACAGCATTTATAATATTAGTTGGGATAATTCAAAAACTTATTGATAATGTGACATTTGGTTAGTGTAGGATTGGTGTTAAAATTTTGTGATTTTATCATTATTTCTCTGATAACTATTTCCGATATTTTTTATTTCCTGTATTAAAGACAATGCTACTTTATACTTCTTCTACTGCTACTTTATTCTAATTATTATATTATTTGTTACTTGTGCTGTTTATTACAATTATTCTCAATCCGTTAATATTTTCTTCTTTCTACCGTGTTCATATTACTGTCCTCGTAAAATCATCGTAACCGATTGTTGTAATCGGATTACAATTAACAACGTGAACATCACTCGACCATGTATGTCCATTTGGACATATCGGAATGGCACGCTTTGACGAGCAACTTGCTGTATCTACTCTAATCCATATCTGTGATCTACTCTAATCCATATCTGTGGATATTATATTTGACATTGACTTGACATGACAGTAACTTGCAATCATTCATTCAATCAATCTATTATTGTCAATTTCTTGAAGAATTAATATTTTTTCGAAAACAAGCTGAAAGAAATATCTATACAATAAGACCAGATTATGGGTAATGCAGGTAGCAATCAACCTAAGGAATGGCACCGAGAAGCTGCTACAAAAGTAGCTGACACTGGTCCATCGTCACCTGTAAAAGAAGGAGAAGCATTTACATTTGACAAAAAACCAGATGATATCCGTGGAAGTCGGGATGAAGACAATAATATCGAGGACGGCGCACCTTACTACACGAAAGCAGTTCCTGAAAGTGAGGTGGAATACAACGTGCCTCGTGAACGTTCCAACACTTTGACCAATGACAGTAGCAAGGACGTTGATGAACTTAAAGTACTACCTACTGTTTTTAAATGGGAAGGTGGTGGCAAGCAGGTAATCCTTAGCAGTAAACACCTTAGTAACAATATGTCTTCGCTTTTTTTATAAGAAAAGATATTATCTTAATCATTTTATTGTAGGTTTTTATCAGTGGAACCTTCACTGACTGGAAAACTATCCCTATGGTAAAGTCACACGGGGACTTTGTAACCATCATCGATCTTCCAGAAGGAGAGCATCAGTACAAATACTTCGTTGATGGAGAATGGCGTCATGATCCTACAGTAGTATGATATATTAAAAACTCTTGAACAAAATTTTCATGCATACATCGGGTTCTACTGTGTTGAAATTCAAATATGTTTTCAGAAAGTGATTGACAATGGTATGGGATCTAAAAATAACTTGGTCACAGTGAAGATGTCTGACTTTGAAGTATTCCAAGCTCTTGCCAAAGACAGCGAAGGCATCCACAGTAGTGCACAAACTGAGTATTCTCAGGTAATTAATTCATAGTGTTTTTGTACAATAAAGCTAATGGCTGTCCTATTGGCTTAATTCTGTGACCCAATAAAAAATTAATTGATAAAATATTGTACTAAAACTATAAACAATTTCAGGAAATACCTCAATCAAAGCCTTGGGAGAAGGTGACGGGACCTCCCATACTCCCACCACACTTGTTACAAGTCATACTGAACAAAGATACACCACTTTCTGTAAGTATACAATTTATAGTTATGACATTTGTTTTAGATTTTTGATAAAGGTAATTAGTCAACATTACCGTAATTATTTAAATTGTTCAAGTTAGTTATTGGAGTCTAGATTAACTAAATTATCGAGACTCTGAGCAAAACCATTTTTTATTAGTATTTAATTTTGTTTCTTTATTTGACAACTAGCTGACCCGGCGAACTTTGTTCCGCCTTAATGGCAATAAATAAGCAGACTTTTTTTTATTTCGAACGAGATAAAAAGTATCCTATGTCCTTCTCCTGGCTCTAAACTACCTCCCTGACAATTTTCAGCTAAATCGGTTCAGCCGTTCTTGAGTTATAAGCGAAGTAACTAACACGACTTTCTTTTATATATATAGNATTTGACAATTTGTATGTACTATTTAAAATGCAAATAAAGAAATTTTGGCTTTGAATGAATAATTTTAAGTATTTTGGTAGTGTAGTTAATTTATGTGATAGTTATAACATTTTTTCTTTGCTTTTTCAGTGTGAACCAACGCTATTACCTGAACCAAATCACGTAATGTTGAACCATCTGTATGCATTATCTATTAAAGACGGAGTTATGGTGCTATCAGCAACTCATCGTTACAGAAAGAAGTATGTTACCACTCTCCTTTACAAACCAATTTAAAAAGGTATCATAGGAAAATGTGAAAACCAAATAAAATGTTAGGTCCTTTCCAAAATCTCTTAATGCTTGCTAGGTAGGTTAACAAAAAAAACAGTGCCTCATTCTTTATAATTGTGTGAAAGCACAAGCATAGATTAAAATTGATCTTTAATGTTTATGCAAATAATTAATTAATTAATAATAATATGCACCAGACAACTAAATGAAGTTGGTGCAGTACCTAGTGTTGATATAGACAATATTTTTACAATTGTTTAGGAAAAATGCATGTCAAATAATGTTTTCTATGGAATAATTAAAGGCAAGGGCAAATTTCGTGATTGTGCGCTTCGTTAGTTCTCGTCGTCCCGTTATTACCGAAATTAGATATTGAGATAAATAATCTTCTTGTTTTGGCCTTTTTATTAGTTATTATTATGATATAGGTCGCGCAACGAAAGTTGAAGCGAACACATACTCGCACTGATGTAATATTTGAATACAGGTGGCGCAGTGTGAGTTTACGTCAAACGTATTCGATATCGACTGCATAAAAAAGTGTAATTAATATGACGGACTGTACAGCGCCCCTAGCGGAAACTTTCAAGAACTAAAATCTTCATTTAATTTTTTTACGCAGTCGATATCGAATGCGTTTGATGCATTCCCACTCATTCACACTACGCACCCAGAACATAAAAATCAGTCAGAATACGCAAGACGTCCAGCACGACGAAGCATATTATAGAGAGAGAGAGAGAGAGAGATACATCGTTGCTTGTGTGAATCGCCTCAACTCATAATGCGCGACCTATATTTATTGACAAGATATTCAAATGTTTCTTTATTAGGTAGTAGTAGTAGGTCTCGTTCAAATTAGACGTTTTGCACTTGCAAGGAAACCCTCACTATACAGGGTGATTGTTATTTTATTCCAACGCAGCCAACCAAACCAATTTTCCGTATACGCATGAATGGACGATTGACGTGCGTCCGGCTCTCAAAACGTTTAATTTGAATGAAAGCTCCATTAGGCCTCAGCCTCGAGTTTAGCGGGCAGCGGGGTGGGAGCGGCGGCGGCGCGGGAGCGGGGCGGGAGCGGCGGCGGCGCGGGAGCGGGGCGGGCNACACCAAACGGCCGACAAATATATTTAATTTATTTATTTATAAAAATAAGTTATTTAATTTAAAATTAATTGTGTCTTTTAACTTTCGATTAATAAGGCCACGGTCAAAAACATACATAGACAAGTCCAATTTCAATTCCATCGTATCGATAAAAGTTATTTACATTCCGAAAACATCAGAAGAACCGTCTGCACCTTGCCTAAAATAACACTCGGGAGACGTTCTTCAAGGAACGATCAAATTTTCCTCATTCGCCTGTAATTGGGGATTCGAGATATCGACGACGAATAAAATTGAATAAAAAAACGAGTGAAGTACCGAACGTCATTCCTGTATTAGCAATTTCTGATTTGTAACGCGCAAAGTAACACTTTGATGTCGATTCAATCAACGAATAACAAGATTGTTTTGCCGGCGTATTTTTCGATGTTATCTTGAAAGCATAGCTAATATATCAAAATGATGGATCTGACAGCTTAATCGGTGGCGCGTGATAGTCGCACCATATTGAAGTTTTCTTGTAACTGTTTGGGTTAGTAATGTTAATATAGAAATTCCTGGAATCGGCGAAACTAACTATACCTAACTTATATTCAAAGTAACAAAATAAATAAGTTTACTCCGCGCCATACTAATTTATTACCACAAGTAACAAAACATACCCAAATCTTAACTCGTGGAACCCTAAGCGGTCGCATGAGACCGCGGTAACAATTGATTTCTATTAAGTCTCGATTCGCTGGTACTTGAATAGTTAAAAATATGCGTATTTTTTTTATAAGTGTGCTTTTGAAGAGCACTATTATGTGTCCCGATTTATTTTTGTCACTTTGTTAAATGTATAAAAATATCTCCGAAATACATGTTGCTAAATAAAAATAAACTAAAATCTTTGATCCTCTTTTCTCCCTAGAAATTTTCCTTCGGCGTTCCTTAAACTTTCATTTATGTAAACACATTACATTCCAGCCAGACGAATCGTAAAATACAGGGTGAGATAATTTATATACTCTCTATGTATGTTATATACATACATATATAGTCCGTTTATGGCCCTAAAGGCGCTTTATCAAGAGTCATTACATTATACCGCCGCCGCCGGGCCTAGCGGTTTATATGTTTTTATATTAAACTAGCAACCGCCCGCGACTTCGTACGCGTGGATCCCGTTTTACCCCGTTAGGAGTTGAATTTCTCGAGTGGCGACCACGTTCAGTGTACCTACCATGAGTTTACGTTAGGTGTGCTCGCTAGCGAGTACGTCAAAAATCTCTATGAAGATTTTGTTTCTTGAAAGTAGCCACTAGGGGCGCTGCACAATATGTCATACAATTGAATGTCATTTTTTTACGCAGTCGCTAGCGAGCACACCTAACGTAAACTCATGGTAAGCACACTGGAAGACGTAGCGTGGGCAGGTCTACTAGGTGGACAGACGATCTGGTAAAGGTCGCGGGAAGAACCTGGATGCGGGCAGCGCAGGACCGTTCATTATGTAAAACCTTGGGGGGGCTTTTGTCCAGCAGTGGACGTCATTTGGCTGAAACGACGACGATGATGTGTATTTTGTTTATCTATACTCTCATAGTTCAAAGTAGATCTTTGAAACTTCGAATTTTGCTCCCAGTGCAAATTGAACCAGCAACTACTTATGTAATATTCTGCCTCTGTGATTCTGTAATTTTCATCATGACTCAACCATCTTAGGTCTTCTATCTTCTTTATTTATTAATAGGTACAGTTACAGTACATAGAATACTACTTATTCAGTAAAATACAGCTACAAATCACTTACAAATCTATGGACCAATTACAACTGCACACAACTATGCCTAATAACTTAAGTGCTTAGATACAACAACAAAAACTAATGTTAGCTTTTATAATATTCTTGTAATTTAATAATTACTCGTTTATCAGTACTATCTCTTGAGGCGTCTAGTTTGTTACAAGGTCCTAACAAAATTAATCAAACATTATTGAGACCTCAGACCGTTAACTTAGTTACTCTATTTCTGATACGAGCACGACAAAACTATTCGTGTACTTTAGGCACGAAAAATAGTTATAATTCTTACTTTATTAGATCATGGAAGAGAGGACTAATTCTAACGATATTACCATTATGTAGGAAGAAACTTATCTTAGTGATTTATGAAGTGAAAATATAATGTTTTCCTCGCTCCAAATATAATTGGATTCGTGGAACCATTTCTATGTAATTCCAGTGTTGATATTAAAAAATCGAGTAGGTATTCTGAGAAAATCTGTGAAAATTAGGTTTGCGGTAAGCCCCATGTTTTGGATATATTTATAAAGGCATCTAACTTTTCCAATTTATGTCGATCTTATCATTATTTTTTTTTAAAGATACATTACATTTATCAAAGATTGATTACTGTTTACAACGAAACGAAAATGAAAAGGATTTACTAGCACATTTTGTATTTAATTTGCCTTTTGCTCAAAATAGCTCAGTTATAATACCTTAAAAATAATAAAGTCTGAGCGTGGTTTAAAACTATGATTTTATAGTTTGCGTATACGAAATTTTGATTCAGAATAGTTTGAACATAATTCCAAAGGAATTTCGTTATTGCTACTCGCTCACGCATCATACGCGGCGAATAACTGAAATACTAAGCGGAGGAATGTTTACACTTAGTAATTGTCAATACAATCTACGCCAGTATTTGTATAACCCACAAATAATAACTGAATTTCAATTAAACACTTGTTTTTAGGCCAAAAATTGAAACATAATGTAAATTTGTTAGTTTTATTAGGTACCTTGAATGCTCTAAAAGTGTTGAGGCTACAGAATTTAATTCATACTACGTCGTAGTCACTTCTAAGATGTTTTTCTACGACACGCTAATATTGTGCTACACCGTAGTCGCTACGAAGATGCGTTGCTACGACACGCGTGATTGCGATGTCTTCGTACTACGAATTCACTTACATAGCTACGAGCGAATTTTCGTAGTATGACCAAATTATTTCAGCACATATTAATTTGAAATGAATTTAGAATTGTATATTTTGCCAAAAAGTTCGCAACACGTCTTTGTTACGATTAGAATAAGGTTGTGTTGTCTACTTTTTAGCCACTTTAAGGCTGAGTTGCACCATCTTACATTAACTTTGACAAACGTCAAAAATCTGTCAAACTCCATTTATAAAAAACACCGGTTATCGTTATAGTTACCGCCAAAGTTAGGTGGTGCAACTCAGCCTTAGTGTCACGAATTATTTGACACTGACTGTAGATTATGTAACTTTTTTGTTTAGATTAAATTGTTGAACGGTAAATAGAGGAACACTCCTTATATTGCTAGAAGTGCCCGTCAATCTAACTTTCTTTCCACGTTCAATTACCTTCAAGAAAGAAGGCAAGGTTTCTGCTGTATTTCTACGCTACAATTTAAAGGTATCTGACTTCGTACGCGTGGAAATCTTTTTATAGTAAAGAGGTCTTCATTCTATAGTATTGCATAATTAGAGGGGCGAGCTACTTATAAGGAGTTATAATAACAATCGACATAAACTTTATCCCATGTGTAAGTTTTGTAATGTTTTAACCGACAATGTAAATACAACAAAAATAAAAATCGTTTTGGTTTGGATTTCATTCGATAACGGAAAAAAACGGATGAAAATTGAAAAGAAAAAAAATCTTGCCACTATTTTGGGATGTGCGATAAACGTAATAATTTTTGAACTTTAATGACCTTTAAAACACACACCAACTTTGTAATAGCAAGACCAACTTCAGCCATACATTAGTCCTTTAACAGTTTCTAAATTTGCATAAATAAACGAGATTAGTGTTCTGCAAAGTGGACTTAAGGTGCTAAGCTAATACAGGGCGTAGCGAAAGGCTTAAAGTGTCGTCAGGCCATGAATCCACTCGTATACAGGGTGAACCATAAATAACAGTCATGTTTAGACTAAACCATCCATTATGCAGTTGGTAACAGTTGCCTTTTATAAAGGTGACCCTATAGTATAGGATAGGATTTTTTATGCTTAACAAGGCAGGTATTTGACCGCAATCGCACCTGGTGTTAAGTGACATGCAGCCTAGTATGGTACATACTCCCCTGTAAGTGCCTATTCACTATGGCATTGAAATTGAATTCGATAGACTACTTCTTAAATTCAAAACTTTCCTCAAGAAAATTAAGTTACAAATAGTCATCAGCAATCAGTCATTAAAGTCTAGAGACAAATCATTTATGAGAACTTGCACATTTGTTATGTAAAAGAATCAGCCATTTTT